AAAAGGGGAGTTTTGACTGTCAAAAGCTCATAACCTGAAAACCTTCTTGGTCTCTAAGGTGCTATGAGACTTGAATCTAGGTCTTCCACTGCAGACCAACAAAACTAACCCCGTGAAACTTTTACAGCCAAGGAATTACGGAGGAAGATTGATAGTTTCACTTCATTCGTCGTAGTTTATTCTGAGGCAATTGGTGTCTCATCTGTATTTAAATTCCAGTGCACTTCACTATTCTGCCTGGGTCCTTTGGACTGCGATGTGACGCAGTCGTCCGCTCCCACCCCACCCCTGCACCGAGCCAAGGCCCTGCACATCTGCCCCCAAAGTCCACCCCTGATGGCACCACTGCTCTTGCGTGTGGATGTGAGTTAAAACTCTCCCACCACCACAGGGGCCATTACAAATAAGTGTTTTCCCATGTGATTGCATGCATCACATGGAGAGTCACCGCCCAAAAAATGGTCCTTTGTATGCAGTATTTCACAAGGAGGGGGGATGTCATTTTTCTTCCTGCTTGTGCATCAAGCCTCCCCACTGCCACTGTAATGTATCCAGTCCAGACAAGTCCAGACAAGTCCAGAGACAAACGCCGAGCTTCGCTCCAAGAGACAATGGACTACGCGGGTCCTAGCCCGCTCCAATCAGGGGGCTAGGTTCCCGGCCGAGAGCCTATGGGACTCTCGGCCACTGTAAATAACCTATAGGGAAGCAGGGGTGTGTTTTGGGTGGCGGTTTCTCGGGGGATATAAGCTGGCCTGCGAGCCGGCCACAGTTGTCTTGTTCCGGATAGAATAAAGTACGCTTTGCTGAAATCACTCTCCGTTTGCGTACTTTTCAGCCACCCAAAGCCCCATGTGGTAAGGAAAGTGGGAAACAACGGAGTTACGAACGAATGCCGAAACCCAAAGCTTTCTCCACAGGTTTTGTTTTTATGCAGAAAAGTGAAGCCAGGCAGAACTAAAGCAAATTGCTTGAAATCCCCAGAGGGAACGCGGAAGAAATTTTCCCAGCCACTTTCTCCCCACCGATACGCATGAGCGCGAATGTGGATGAAATGCACGATGAGTGAGCTGCGAAACCAGTAATAATAACATGAAACAAATAGCCATGATCAACTGCAGCGGCCTCGCCAATTAGGAACACCAAAGGTAGGCTGAGGAGGGGAAAGAAAGACAAGGAACACAGGCAGGGGATATGGCATATGGCTCCACTGTGTGGAAAGGACTATCTTTTCAGGGCTGTGTCTTTTTCTGCATATTTATTTATTTATTTATTTATTTATTTATTTATTTACTGCCTACCGGCACCCTGGTGGAGGCTTGGTGTCATTCTTTTTCAGCTCGGCTCCTTTTTCCCGGCTGAGATGTTCTGGTGCTTTTAGGCAGACAGGCGGATGGGTTACCAGCGGCGTCCTCCTCGGCCCGACTGCGTCCTTCTGGCTCCGCGCGCCTCTGGATGACGTCACCGCGCCTCCGTCCTCCGCCGACGACAGCCGCCCTGCTCTTTCCATTGCTGGCCACCAGGGATCAGTCCCCCTCTGGCTCTGCTGCCGTCGCTCGCCGCCTTCCGCGCCATGCCGCCACCTCCTCCGATCTTCTGCTGCCGCCGCTGTTCTACTGCAGCCGCCATTGCCGTCGCCGTCATCGCAGCCGCTGCTCTCCACACACCTCCGCAGGGAGGTGGGTGCCCCCCACCCTACTAAGGGTGGGTTCCCATTTATCTACTCGCCGTTAGGTAGTTACTTGGCTTTCGAACCGCTGGATGGGCAGGAGCTAAGACTTAAGGGTCGAGAGCTCACCTCGACCGCGGTGGGGCTCGAACAGGTGCTCGAGCTGTTGTTAATGCAGGCGTTATACTGCCTGCGCCACCGCCATATCCTTTGCTCCTCTTTGTACGGCCTCAAAACTGGGGCTTTGTACTGAGTTTCACATTCCAAGAATCCCAGTATTCAATTTGCAAATCTCACCAGATTTCTAGTCCTCGGAGGAAACATAAAACTTAAACACATGAAAGGTATTTCCTGCGGGAGTTTCAGCATCAACTAGTTTTGCTAGAAGACTGGGCATACATCTCCCGCGCTGCTAACTGCTAACTAGCAAGCCCCATTTTCAGCATGTCAACAGTGCAATCCTAACAGGGCTGCCATTTTCCCACCGGAGGTAAAGGGTTCCCTGCCTCTGTCTCCTGTTTCCCACCGCCACTCCTGGGGCCGACGGGAGAAAAATAATGTCAAATAAAAGCCGAGTTTGGTAAACCTCCTTTCTCTTTCATTAGCAGAAACCCAGGTTCAATCCAACCCCCTAAATTTTTCTAGTGGAATATCAGTGCTTGTAGACCACTGGAAATTGAAGAAGAGAGAAGAGAAGAGATTGGATTTATATCCTTCCCTTCACTACCCAAAGGAGTCTCAGAGCGGCTTACAAACTCCTTTCCCTTCCCCTCCCCACAACAGACACCCTGGGAGGTAAAAGAAGAAGAAGAAGAGATTGAGTTTATACCCCGCCCTTCACTACCCAAAGGAGTCTCAGAGTGGCTTACAAACTCATTTCCCTTCCCCTCCCCACCACAGATACCCTGTGAGGTAGAAGAAGAAGAGATTGGATTTATACCCCGCCCTTCACTACCCAAAGGTGTCTCAGAGCGGCTTACAAACTCCTTTCCCTTCCCCTCCCCACCACAGACACCCTGTGAGGTAGAAGAAGAAGAAGAAGAGATTGGATTTATACCCCGCCCTTCACTACCCAAAGGAGTCTCAGAGTGGCTTACAAACTCCTTTCCCTTCCCCTCCCCAAAACAGACACCCTGTGAGGTAAAAGAAGAAGAAGAGGAGATTGGATTTATACCCCGCCCTTCACTACCTGAAGGAGTCACTACAAACTCCTTTCCCTTCCCCTCCCCACAACAGACACCCTGTGAGGTAAAAGAAGAAGAAGAGGAGATTGGATTTATACCCCGCCCTTCATTACCCAAAGGTGTCTCCGAGCGGCTTACAAGCTCCTTTCCCTTCCCTTCCCCATAACAGACACCCTGTGAGGTAGGCAGGGCTGAAGAGAGCTCTTTCCAGAACTGTCCTTGAGAGAACAGCTCTGACAGAACTGTGGCTTGCCCAAGGTCACCCAGCAGTGGATGTGGGGAATCAAACCTGGTTCTCCCAGATTAGAGTCCGCACACTTAACCACTACGCCAAACTGGCTCTCTTATGAGCAGGACAAAAGCACAGATATTTAAGAGAATGCACAACTACCATACCCTCATCTGGATGGCACAGGCTAGCCCAATCAGGGTCAGATGGGTCAGTCCTGGTGAGTAGTTGGATGGGAGACCACTGAGGAAGCCCAGGGTTGCTACGCAGAGGCAAGCAATGGCAAAGCCACCTCTGAATGCCTCTTGCCTTGAACACCCTTTGGGGTCACCATAAGTCAGCCATGACTTGATGGCACTTCCCACCACCACGACAACTATGATGGAACAGAAGTACATTGCGGTTTCTGTGGTGTGACCAAATGTATTTCATGAATGTGCGTAGCCTAACTCTTTGTTAAATTTGGCTTCTATTTACAGTAACAATACCATTAATGGGAAAATGCATTATACAACAGACAAAGTAGATAAAAGTAGACTGGGCTGGTTTTCCAATACTTTCTGTCCCTGTCCCTCTTCCACACCCTGCCCAGGCTAAACCGTTTGTCTTTACACCATCCCCTCCCTCTGTTCTTGACTCCCAGTCCCTGCCAAACCAGATTTCCACATTCTTAGGGTACTGGAATCACAGAAAGAAAACTAATATATAAATTACTGCCTCTGAAAGTGTGCCCTTTCTTGCCGATGCCTCTATTCCTAGGATTTAGGCCTTCTCAGCAAAGAACTACTTGAATACGGCAATTTGTACAAACATGACCTTTTGACAAGATCCATTAACTACGAAAATGGCACATGCCAAAAAGAACGGCTGATGGAGAATTCTCTCTCTGTCTCAAACACGCACGCACATTTTTCAGTGTGGCTAAATACAGCCGTAACTGGATAATCTGAACACATAAAACTCTGGATCATTGTCTGTTATTCCATCTGGCCGCTTTGTGTTCATTCTAGCACAGCTTATTCAGATTCTTCACGTATTCCGTTCTGTTTCGTTTTAATTGTGGCAACTGACCTCCGAGCAATGTGGCAGGAATCAAAATCATCGTGGTTTCCTTTCTTTGTTAAAAATAACTTATTCTTTTGTATAAGCCTTTGATGACTACTGGTATTGGGGGGGCAGAGTGGCTATTGCAAATGATCCATCCCTTTCTAATTACATCGTATACAAACAGTCATTGAAAGATTCAGGGATTAACTGGGATTCAAACTCCATTCCACCTCTAACATGCCACCCAGAGGTCATTTCGGGGGGGATCTCGGGGGATCGCAGTTCCCCCAGGTGAGGTGCGGGGGGCGGGGCACACGATGAAGCCCCGCCCCCCGCTTCCGGCCACCCCGCTTCCGGCCCTCATTTAGCCAGGAGGAGGCAGGAGAAGAGGGAGGGTAAGTTGCTTCCTCCCCGCCTCTCCCCACCCCTGCCTGCCTTGGGCCAGGGAGGGCCTTGGCGGGGCTTCCTCGCACTCCTGCCGGCCTTCCAGGTCCACCGCCGGGCCCCTGATGTCAGTGGGTGTGGCATATGCTAATGAGTTATGCCAATTAGTTCCCCTAGCTCTTTTTCTACGAAACGACCCCTGATTGCCACCTAACGTTGACTCACACTGGCAGGACGTACTAGACTGTAAGGAATTTATGCGGCAGTTTTTACTATCAGAAGCTAAACATGCTTCTGAAATTCAGCTGACTTGCAAAGCATACGATACCATCCCATCAACTATTATAATAAAAATAACATGACCTTAATATTGCACCATGAACACTAGACTGATTTCAGTATTGGAATGTTTTTCTTCTGTTTCCAGCTTCCTTCCCTTCAGTTGAGTTCTAGTTCATATTAGCAGAGGCAGACAGACAGATATTACCTGAACACTGAAGGAGTCCTGGGAAGAACCCTTCCCCACACGATTCCACACACTGGCCATTCTTCAGCAGCTGTGAGTCTTGACATGAAGTGCACGTGTACGCATGGGTGCAGGTGGAGCACGTGTTCTTGCAGGCTGTTCAAAGCGGGAGAAATAGCAAAGAGTGATTATCTGAAATGAGGATCAGCGACTAGTGGCCCTTGCGTCAAATACAGTCCTTTTAGGGAGATCTGAATTTTATGCACAAACTAAGAAAGCTATCATTCAGGCCTTCAGATTATGAGGAGTTTCAAATACAAAAATAATCACTAAAATAACTAAAATTATCATTTTTGAGAATGCCATGGCACACTTAAACGACATCACTTACAGCATCAGGATGACTTAATCAGGCCCTGCTCTTAGGAGTACTATCTAGCCCATAGTTGCTAAGCCATAGCCAAGAGGGTTGGCTGGAAGCAGTGTTACCTCTAAACTGAGTTAATGTGAGCTAGCTCACAGTTTTTTAGCCTCAGGCTCACACATTTTTGTCTTAGCACAGGAGGGAGGGCTCCACATAGGGATCCCAAGTCCCCCCGAGGGGCGGGGAAACCCCCACCCCAGATGCCCGTTCCCCGGCGGCGGCAGATCAGGCCCCGGGGGGAACTCCACCCCGACATGTGCATCACCCGGAAGTGATGCGGACACGCCGGGCACACTGGGGACGGGGCCACGGCCATACAAGGAAAAACTCTATGGTTTTCCCTTGTATGGCCGTGGCCCCACCCCCAGCGTGCCTGGCGTCCTCCCGTCACTTCCGAGTGACGTGCATGTGGCACATGAGACGTCGGCCGGAAGCCCCCCACTCTCAGCGAAGACAGACTTGGCAACCCTAGCTCCACAGCAAACTAATCTATGCAGCAGCCAAACCACTCGCTCACAACTTGAATGCCGGCAGCTCACAAAGTAGAATTTTTGCTCACAAGACTGCAAAAGCTTAGAGAGAGCATTGGCTGGAAGAAGCAGTGATGGTGGCCGGGGGAATTGGTAACAACCCAGCTTTCAGGAGATGTACTGTTCTGACTCAGCACCCCTCCACTCTCTCCTCAGTGTAGCCATAAAGCAAGATTACTTGCTGGTATGACAGATCTAAAAGCACTGTATAAAGATCAACAACGCTGGAGAAAGTCTACACTAGGTACATAAATTGGCTAGAGGGCTGCAGACATGGCTATGGGGGGGCATGATGGTGGCTGCAGCTTCATGTCACTGCGTGTAAAAAAAAAACATTAGTAACATAGGTAGCTCTAGGAATTGCTAGGAGGTCTATGGTAAAACCATAGAGCTTCCGGTGATACCTAGAACTACCCTATGTCACTTTCAGTTTCTTACCAGAACACATGCGATGGCTTTATTTTTTTATTTTTCTCCTGCTGCAACTCAGATCAATGGGAAGGGAAGCAGGGAATTCCACACTCTGTCTGTGAGCTGGGCAGCCAATTTAATGAGAACAAAAGCATCCCTGTTGCCAAGAAGCACACACTTAAGATATATGGAACAGGACCCTGGATGTGTTCTGAAAAGGACACATCTTCTGTAGGTGCAGCAACAAGAAATTGTTCAAGACTAGCCGCTGCTGAAGCTCAGCTCCTGTTGTCCATTTTCACACAGATTCCTTTGCAGGAGCGCTCCTTCGTATGTGAATACTGAGATCACGGAGCAAGACAGAACCTCATAAGTAATATATAAGGAAGCAGATGTGTGTGAAGGGAGTGATGTTCCTAGTAGCTTCACTGCTGCCAATATATACTGATGAGATTAATCCAGATCTGTCATCTTCACTCAGATTAATCATACTCTGTAAGACAAAGTGTCCCTCTTACCACCTTGTGCTTTTGGCAACCTCCTCCAACATACAAGGAAGAAGGTCTGATTTAAATTTGATCTCGCTGGAGGACAGAAGCCCAGTTTAATGAGATGCTGTGCTACTGCAAAGCCCCCCAGGTAAGTACTTCTGCCTCTACCAGCACCATCAAGCCTAAGAAATTCAGATCAAACCAAAGGTTAGGATTGCCAGCATGTGGCTGGAAGAAGGCAGGAGACTCACCAGTCGGCTGGAAGCCATGGCTGACAACATAGTGACATCACTGGTGGCCAGTTTTCCCTGGAAGCCGAGTTAGTGTGAGCTAGCTCACAGTATTTTAGCCTCCAGCTCATGCATTTTTGTCTTAGGTCAGGAAGGACGGCTCCAAAGCCAACTAATTCAGAGCCAGTTTGGTGTAGTGGTTGAGTGCGTGGACTCTAATCTGGGAGAGCCGGGTTTGATTCCCCACTCCTCCACTTGCACCTGGCTGGATGGCCTTGGGCAAGCCGTAGCTCTGATAAGAGCTGTTCTTGAAAAAGAGCAGTTTCTGTCAGAGCTCTCTGAGCCCCACCTACCTCACAGGGTGTCTGTTGTGGGGAGGGGAAGGGAAAGGAGTTTGTAAGCCGCTCTGAGACACCTTTGGGTAGTGAAGGGCGGGGTATAAATCCAATCTCTTCTTCTTCTTCTTCTTCTAATTTATGCAGTAGCCAAATCACTCGCTCACAACTTAATGTCAGGAGCTCACGAAGTAGAATTTTTGCTCACAAGACTCCATAGCTTAGAGGGAGCACTGCTGGTGACATGACTGTGAGCGACATCTTCGTGTTGCAGGTGACACTCTAGCATCCAGCCAAATCTCTATAGTTCAATCATAGAGTTTTGGGCCAAATGGTACAGCGTCACTGGTGATACAACGACAACACTTCCAGTTGCTTTTTTAAAAAGGTAGGCAAAAAGCCGATGGTGCAAATGAAGAAAAATATTCTATTACTCAGGTAAAAATGGGGAATTCTTTACTTTAATCATAAAATAGTCTTTACTTGGGAAATTTCTTCACCTGAATAATAAAAAATATTCATTGGTGGGAATTTTTTTTACCTAAATAATAAAATATTCTGGTTTTGCACCATTGGCTTTTTGCCTGGTTTTTATCCCTGTGATTGGTGCAGCCGCCTTGCTTTCTCCGTGCCTGTGTAACCAGAAGGGAAATTATCATGTCACACTGGCATCATTGATTCTCCCCTTTTTACATTTGGCAAAGCACCAGGAGACGCTTCAGCAGGCATCACGGTGCCCACAAAGGGCACCACGCTGGGCACCCCTGCCGAAAGTCCATCTAATAGTCCATCCATAAAACAAAACTTCACTGAATCCTTCCAGAGGCTATCCTGCCAGCAGAGCGGTAATGCATATCATGTAGTGGTTAGTGTCTCAGACTAGGCTCTGGGAGACCCAGGTTCAAATCTCCACTCTCTCATGGAAGCCTGGCTGGGTGACTCTCAGGGTTGCTGCAGGATCAAATGGAGGAAGGAAGAACCATGTAAGCTGCTTTGGGTCCCCATTGGGGAGAAATGCAGGGGGGAGGAGGAGGAGGAGAAAGAGAAGAAGGAGAAGAAAGAGAAGGAGGAGGAGGAGGAGAAGAAAGAGAAGAAAGAGAAGAAAGAGAAGGAGAAGAAGGAGAAGAGGAGGAGGAGGAGGAGGAGGAGACTGGATTCATACCCCGCCCTTCACTTGGAGTCTCAGAGTGGCTTACAATCTCCTTTCCCTTCCCCTCCCCACAACAGACACCCTGTGAGGTAGGTGGGGCTGAGAGAACTCTTTCCAGAGCTGTCCTTGAGAGAACAGCTCTGACATAACTATGGTTTGCCCGAGGTCATCCAGTAGCTGCAAGTGGAGGAGCGGGGAATCAAACCCAGTTCTCCCAGATTAGAGTCTGCGCACTTAACCACTACACCAAACTGGCTCTCTATAAACAAAGGAAGATTTTTTGTACCCCTAAGCAATTCTCAGACTGGATTTCTTTATATTTCTAAGAGATATCTTGCCCAAACCAGAAAACCCTAAGCACCAAGAAAGGAAACTTCCGACGTCACGAAGAAAGCACCAGGCAACCCTTACCTAAGCAAAGCCCAGAATCCTGATAGTATCCAGACCCGCAACTGGCCACACAGCGTCCGTTCTGCAGGAATTTGCTCGTATCATGGCAGGCGTCACAGCGATCGAAAGCCTGTGAGCAGGTCAGACAGTCTGCGTGGCAATGCCCTGGCATCAGGAACAGACAAGACTCAGTTTCGGTATGCGTGAGCAAGTATGTACCCAATGCGTATTGTCCTGCTCAATGCTAGCAAAACACGTCCTGCAGCAGTAGTTTTCCAGTGGCATTCCTCCGGGATCCTTTAAGAGCGAATGGGTCTTACATGATCGGAAAATCAGTAGCAGAGCATGAGCTTAGCCTGCCGTATCAATCTTCCTCTAAAAGTCAGTTTCAGGGAGGATGGCGGACAACATCCGGGCCAGCAATGGTGTGGGCCAGCCTTATGTGGCTCTGTGGCAACACACTTTGCTTTATCAGTTGTTGTAGATTTCCCAAGCTGTATGGCTGTGGTCTTGGCAATGTCAGGTACTGACGTCAGGTCCTACAATGCCAAGGCCATGGCCATACAGCCCGGAAAATCTACAACAACTAATGAACTCCGGCCATGAAAGACTTCCACAACATACACTTTGCTTTGCTTGTGAGTCGGCCTTCTGGGATTGCCAGACTTCAAGTGACAGCTGGAGATCTCCCGCTGTTACAGCTGATCTCCAGGCGACCAAGATCCCCCCAGGATAAAATGGCTGCTTTGGAGGGTGGAATGTAAGGCATTATACTCAGCTGAGGTCCCTCCCCTCCCCAAACCCCACCCTGCCTAGGCTCCCCCCCCCCCCAATCTCCAGGTATTTTCCACCCCAAAACTGGTCTTTCTCAGGTTCAAGGAGGCCCACTGATGGAAGAAGCTGACTGGCAATTTTACCTTGGCTCCCCTGTCCACTTAGGGTTGCCAGTCCCCAGTTGGTGGTGGAGGGGGGGGTCCCCTGGTTTTGTGGGCTCCTGGCCACTGCCAGCCGGCTGGCCAGTGGGAGGAAATCCTCTCCAACAGCAACATGGAGCGATGTGTCTATGTCACCCGGAAGTTACATAGGCACGTTCGGCGACGCTCTGGTTTATGGGCAAAATTCTATGGTTTGAAGGCAATTTTACTATAGAGTTTTGTCCCAAAACCAGACTGTCGCCCCCTGATGTGCCTACATCCCTTCCAGGTGACATAAGTGTTGGAAATATGTGTGTTGCAAGGTCTAAAGTCAGTCATTATAGGGTTGATGTGCTTACCTTGTGCGCTATTGTTTAGACTGACCTGGAAGGGAACCTGTCACTAAGTCAATGTGAAGAAAGCCTGGGAAACTGAAGCCTATTTACTAACAATCATTGGTTAATGCATTCAGGTGATTTCCTTCTAGGGGTCAAGAAGAAAGGAAGTGTTTCCATTACTATCTGTGTCTGTTGTTGCAACCATGTAGTCTTAAGTGTTTGTTGTTTTGTAGAAATAAAGATTTTTACATAGAAAGAAAATGCCTCCTCTCCAGTGAACAAAGATCCATGGCAAACTCTGAATATCTAACTATTTTTACTTGTTTTCCAACAATAGGCACGGCGTGTGATGTCATTTCCAGTCACATCGGCACATCAGGGGCAACATTTCTGGCTCCTGGAGTGTCCCCCCATCCCCCCGCCAGCATCTTGAGAAAGGAGCTGGCAACTGTACGTCCACTCTGCCCTCCACCTTCTCCTCCCCACATTCCTATCATGGCCCCTGCTCCTACATATTGGAATTGGGGGGGGTGGGTGTTCCAGCAAGGCCAGGGTTTCTCCTAAGAACTTCTCCCTCACGTAACCCCACAGCCAAGCAGAAACTGTTAGTATAAACATTGAGGAGGATTTTTTTTTTTGTTAAATAGTTTATGAATGTTACACATCTCAGCCTCCAGGGATAAAATGGGTTAGCAATCCAGAGAAACAAAGAAGAGTTTAGTCATGCAGATACCTGGCTTGCACTGCGGGCAACATTCCCCAGGGACAGCTACTGGCACGCTGCCCAAGGGGCAAGTTGGACAAGATGCAGAATAGCAGACCACCTCGGTATCCCGGCACTGACATTCACGGCACAGACCTTCCTTCCATTTTTCACCACTCTGAACAGAAATACATGAAAGGCTGTGAGATTCTGCATTACTCCGGCATTACAGAGGTCTCTTCCAGTTGTTTAAATCTGGAAAGGAGGTATGTTTTCCCCACTTTCCACTTGTCAGTTGGAGCTCTTCCTGAAAGGCCGTGCGACGACCGCTCAGGTGCCACCGCCCAGTGTGAGTCACTGTCCTGGGCCAGCATCCCCCGGATGAAGGTCGTTCTTCCATTCTTCTATAAATTAATCCTATCCAGTGCAGTGACAGGACAGAAATTCCCACAATCAGTGCAGACTGATAAGAAAGATGCAAAGCCAGAGGACTGAACTGTACAGGGATAAAACAGGCAGCCCTCTCCCAGGAATGGATGCTTCGGGCTCACGGGAGACTTGAAAAATTTAATTAAATAATGTGCCGATGGCATGTAAACAGACTGGCCGGAGCACATTAATGTGTGTCAGAATACGGTTTAGGTGTTAGCACCACAGAGAGCCATAGAATAGATGGTGTAGCCTTGGCCCGCTTCAACGCTTTACCATCAGCTGTTCTGGAATGGAGATACACACATATCCCTCAGTCTCAATGTGTTTGCACTTGTCAATTAGACACAGTCGAAATAATTGACTATGTGTTACTGCATTGCCCTCTGTAGAGAGACATGCAGTCTCTATACATAACACTAATCATATCAAATTCTCCAGGCAGGCCTGATGGATTTTATAATTCCTTCCCCCTCTCAGATTGTTCTAAAGGCAGCCAAATGTTGTGCCTAGGAAGGTTTAAAAAGGACACGGCTGGTTAAGTATAAAGGAGGAAGAAGAGGAAGAAGAGGAAGGGGGAGGAGGAGATTGGATTTATACCTCGCCCTTCACTCTAGAGTCTCAGAGCGGCTTACAAACTCCTTTCCCTTCCCCTCCCCACAACAGACACCCTGTGAGGTAGGTGGGACTGAGAGAGCTCTTTCAAGGACTGTTCTTGAGAGAACAGCTCCGAGAGAACTTGTGACTGACCCAAGGTCATGCCAGCAGCTGCATGTGGAGCAGTGGGGAATCAAACCCAGTTCTCCCAGATAAGAGTCTGTGCTCTTAACTACTACACCAAACTGGCTCTCAAAAACACCTTCTGCTCCCACTGTAACGAACACCAAACCCTGGCCTCAACTCTAGTTTTGGAAAGGGATTTGCTGGCCACAGCAGCGAACACTTTGAGGCAGGCTGGGATGTTAAGACTTCAGACAACCCTCATCTGTTTCTCTTTCCTGTACTGATAACATCGTTAAGCCCCGTTCAGTTCTGTAAAGGCAGCAGCTAATGACATCGTGGCCAGATTAAGGAAAAGTCCTCCTGATATGTAATAAAATAGCAAATATTTAGAACACAAGAACACAAGAGAAGCCAATGTTAAATCAGACCAATGGCCCATCCAGTCCAACACTCTGTCGTCACACAGTGGCCAAAAATACCAGGTGCCATCAGGAGGTCCATCAGGGGGACCAGGACTCTACAAGCCCTCCCACTGTTGCCCCCCCCCCCCAGCACCAAGAATTCGGTACATCACTTGCCCCAGACCGAGAGCTCCTATCTATGCCTTGTGGCTAATAGCTACTGATGGACCTCTTTCACAGATTACATACAGATTAATTCTTGAATGATTCAGTCCCATTCTGGTAGAGGAAGTAATCAACAGAAAGCATCTCCAGAAGGTTTCAAAGAATCCTGGTGGTGCTTCTCCCAAGGACTGTATTTGCCATCCCGCTAGTTTTCTGCACGGCGCCTGTCCTAGCTATAGCTGAGGTTCATTACAGCCTGACGCACAGACAACCGGTTTGCGACAATCTTTCCTGACAAATCTCAGTTAGCTTTGGACAGGGACATGTCCACATCAGTGTTATTTTACAGCTCTCATCCCTGCCTCCTGAGATGTCAATGAGGAGGTTTTTTTTTCTGGCTTATGAAAATATCAGTAGTTGCCTGTAGTGGCACAGTCACTAGAATGAATAGAAAACTACCATTTTGTGGGGGAAGTCATCTCATAGATTAGCAGCCTGAACAGCCCAACTTAGAACTTGGAAACTGGGATCAGGCACGGTCAGTACTTGGATGGGAGACCACCAAGGAAGAATGGATTTGCTACGCAGAGGGAGACAATGGCAAACCACCTCTGCTCGTCTCTTGCCTGGAACACCCCATGGACAGGGTAGCCATAAGTTGCTTATGACTCCATGGCATATTCTTCTTCGGATGGTTCAGGCTTTGTCCAGATTTTCTGTTGCTAAGCACAGGGATTTTCCTACTTCCTTTTCCATCATCTTTTGCAGATAATCTTGAGATCTGTATACCTCTCTGATTTTTAGATTTTTAAAAAAGTATCTGCTAGGTATATCTGAGTATTACACCCTCTCTGCATATATTTAACACCCCTTTTTTGTTTGCGATTTTGCTCCGTTTTTTGTTTTTTTTTAACAGTCTTTCTGCTTCTCCAGGTTATTCTTTGGTGCCGCTAACAGATGAGGTTTGCTGGTTTCTTTTTTTTTTATTAATTAACTGTTCTTTTATTGAAGGACATGGTTGATTTCATTATGTAAGCTGACCTGAGATCTATGTCGGTTGAGGGGCAGGGTATAAACATTGCAAATACATCATATCAACAAGTAATGGCCTTTGGATCAAACCTGAGTTTTCCCCAGGCGCTGCCCACACATTTCCAAGCTTCCCTTTGAAGGCTTAAGGGCAAGAAACTTGTGTCTACTGACATGAAAAGTGGAGACGTTCAGAATAAAGAATACCCAATGTTACACGGGCAGAATACCAAAACGCCCGCCTGTGGTCTTTGGAAAACAGAATTGCAAAAATAGTTCGGTGTAATTTATTCTCCGTTTCCCTTTCATTTGGGGATTGAAAAATGACTCTTATGATGCGGCAATTGACATTAGAACATGTTTCCCCTCCTAAGATGCAGCACCGGCGCATGCTTTAAATAACATTTCTTGATCATTCCTTCATAAAAATCCATCAAGTCGTATTCTTTAGAGAAATGTACTTCTCCAAACCATCGCGCGCACCCTGATGGGTCTACGTGCTCGGAATTATCGGGCTACTTACATCTTTGGTATGTTCTTTGTAAACACAGGGGCCACCTCTTGAAATACATTCAGGACAGCACTTGCCTTCTAAATGAATTAATTCTTCACCCTGTGGAGAAAGAGGCACCGGCAGCAAGATATGGGGAATTAGCATTTCTCAACGATAGCAGGCAGAAGACAGTGGGAGTCGGGCCATTTCTGCTGGAATGCATACTTCATGATCCTGTTTCCCCCTTATCTTTCCCACAGCCCATTCCATCAGTTTTCATTCTTTTCCCAAAAGATACTTGCTTAAATAGCATTGTGACTGTAGAGCAAGCCCCCAAATTGTCCTTGAAACCATAGGCAACTGGCACAAGCCTCAGCTATGGGGGGAGGGGGGTGTTTGCAGATCCAGTTTCAGGGGCCAAATTCCTTCTGCATGGCTGTTGCGACTGGCACATTTGACACTTCGATATACATAAGAACATAAGAGAAGCCAATGTTGGATCAGGCCAATTGCCCATCTAGTCCAACATTCTGTCACACAGTGGCCAAGAATACCAGGTGCCATCAGGAGGTCCAACAGTGGGGCCAAGACACTAGAAGCCCTCCCACTGTTGCCCCCCCCCAAAGCACCAAGAATACAGTGCATCACTTGACCCAGCCTGAGAGTCCCTATCTATACCTTGTGGCTAATAGCCACCGATGGACTTATGCTCCATATGCTTATCTAATTCCCTCTTGAAGCCGTCCATGCTTGTAACCGCCACCACCTCCTGTGGCAGTGAATTCCATGTGTGAATCACTCTTTGGGTGAAGAAGGACTTCCTTTTATATGTTCTAACCCGACTGCTCTGCAGTTTCATGGAGTGCCCACGAGTTCTTGTATTGTGAGAAAGGGAGAAAAGTACCTCTTTCTCTACCTGCTCTATCCCGTGCATAATCTTGTAAACCTCAATCATGTCACCCCTCAGCCATCGTTTCTCCAAGCTAAGGAGCCCCAAGCGCCTTAACCTTTCTTCATAGGGAAAGTGTCCCAACCCTTTTATCATTCTAGTTGCCCTTTTCTGCACTTTTGAACACTGGTACCACGCTGTCCTTCCAAGTTCAGGATGGTATATATGTGTGTGGGGGGATCCATTTTTCTTCACACAACGGTAGGGTTGGAAAAGACCTGAAGCCGGGGGAAGGTGGAGTTTGGGAAGAGGAGGGAACTCAGCAGAGTCCATCTGCCAAAGCTGCCATTTTCTCCAGGGGAACTGACCTCTGTCGTCTGGAGGTCAATTGTAATACCAGGAGATCTCCAGTCCAGAGCCCACCTGGAGATTGGCAACCATACCTGTCAGATATGTAAGGCTCAAAGATGTGCAAAAATCTTCAGGAGAGTTTCACAGGCAATGAAGGCTTGGGCTCTTTTTGTAGCAGGTACTCATTTGCGTATTAAGTGACACACCCCTAATGTAGCCAGTTCTCCAAGAGCTTACAGTAGCTCCTGTAAGAAGAGCTTTGTAAGCTCTTGGAGGATTGGCTACATTAGGGGTGTGTGGCCTAATATGCAAAGGAGTTCCTGCTACAAAAAGAGCCCTGGAGGAATGAGTACACCTTACCATAATTTGGGGAAGGCCTGGCTCATGAGGCAAACCCATTACCATGACATGGTCATAAGAACATAACCAGTGGTCTATCTAATTCAGCATCCTGTCTCACACAGTGGCCAACCAGTTCCTCTGGAGGACCAACAGCAGGGCAAAGAGGCTGAGGCCTTCCCTTGATGTCGCCTCCCGGCACTGGTACTCAGAGGTTTACTGCCTCTGAATGTGGAAGTCTATTTATATAGTTTCCAAAATAAAGCAGACATTTTTATTTCACAATCTGTGAGATATACATATAATCTCACAAACTGTGGAATAAAAATGTATGTTTTAATTCTGGAGTTATATCAATTATATAAATGAGATGGGATCTGGGCTAGACTGTCTGGCCACCAACTGGGTCTCCCTCCTCCTCTATCCTCCTGGACATTCCTGGACATAGTTCTGACAAGAGCTGTCCCTGAAAGGGCAGTTCTGGAAAGAGCTCTCTCAGCCCCACCTACCTCACAGGGTGTCTGTTGTGGGGAGGGGAAGGGGAAGGGGAAGGAGTTTGTAAGCCGCTCTGACACTCCGAGTGAAGGGCGGGGTATAAATCCGATCTCCTCCTCCTCCTCCTTCTCCTTATCCCTCTCTGGGTCCTAGGAGTTTGCCGTGATGTTCTCTTCAACCCTCAGCAGCAGAAACTTTCATACCCTCCACAGTGGCCTTTACAAGCCTCATTTAAGTCCCTGCCCCCAGCCTCACAAGACCTCTTCATCTCGCTTAGCCCCCATCATCCTGGTGAGCAGCCTGACGCCTGAGATGTGGTGGCCGACACTTCCAGGAGATGTGCTGGTCCTCTGGGCAACAACTGGCATTTTGGAGGGGGGGGCAAGTGCATTCACACAACCACTAGGGTTGCCAGTCTTCAAGTGGGGGCTAGAGATCTCCCACCCTACAAATTAGGGTTCTAAACCAGGAATAAACCACAGGCTTGGGGATCCTGGCCTGGTTTGCAAGTATTCCAAAACCCATAATTCAATCCCAGTTTGGGATCTTGGTTTGTAGGCAAGAATACAAATCATAGTTTGTGTTTTGGTGAGAAGGACAAGCCGCGGTTTGTTTTGAATGTGGAAATCTTCCATTTCTGAACCACACAGGTCAGGGAAGAGAGGGGAGGGTCAGTGAGTCTGTGGCTTTCCAGGGCTCATTCTTAGCCTGACAAACCAGGTTGGGTTGTTGAATCTGAAAATAAAAGATTCATCTCTGAAATCACGGAGAAAACTTGGTGGCCTGCACTGACGGGAACATTTCATTAACCTTCTTGGGGGAGAAGAAGAAGAGAAGAGATTGGATTTATACCCTGCCCTTCACTACCCAAAGGTGTCTCAGAGCGGCTTACAAACTCCTTTCCCTTCCCCTCCCCACAACAGACCCCCTGTGAGATAGGTGGGGCTGAGAGAGCTCTGACAGAAACTGCTCTTTTTCAAGAACAGCTCTGACAGAACTACGGCTTGCCCAAGGTCATCCAGCCAGGTGCAAGTGGAGGGGTGGGGAATCAAACCCGGTCCTCCCAGATTAGAGTCCGCGCACTTAACCACTACACCAAACTGGGGAGAAGGGTTTGGTCAATGTTGACCACTTCTGGAAAGTGTACTTCTAGCAAGCGTATGCTAACTATTTAACTATCTGTTACAGAATTCCATGGCAGGGAAAGAACCCTTGTCACAGTACATATTGTTAACATTCCCATCCCTGCTGTTACCTACCCTAGCATGCACAAGTACGCACTTCATTTGAAAAGCAAAGACAAATATGTATGGGGCCCATTCTCCTTGCCAAAAAATCCGTTTATGTCTGCCAAGATTCAGGATTGGGGAGGCATCATTTAAGATAACTAGATCACTTTTCACTGCCCGGCCTATTATGCGATAGCAGGGGCAGGGCAGCGGTTGGGAGACTGTTGAAAAGAAATACACTTCAATTGTGTGTACAGCATTTTACACCTCATGCCATTCCTGAGGTAACATAATGTCCTGAAGGGAGAAAAACAAAACTCTTGTTCTGTAGTGTTCTTTTTTACCTCAAGCAACAGTCGTTTGTGATTTAACAGGTAGGGACTCTATTACAGGATCAGATTATTGTGGGACTATGAAGACGGAATTACTTCGTGACATCTTTTTCACCTCAAAAAGGGCCTAAACGAACCTGGCCTATTATCCAAGATGTTGATCAACTAGTTTTATGGGAGGGCCTTTTTGAGGGAAGTAGTCATGTATGGCTGCGAGAGTTGGACTATAAGGAAGGCCGAGCGCCGAAGAATAGATTCTTTTGAACTATGGTGCTGGAGAAGACTCTTGAGAGTCCCTTGGACTGCAAGAAGATCAAATCAGTCAATCCTAAAAGAAATCAACCCTGACTGTTCCCTGGAAGGCCAGATAATGAAACTGAAGCTCAAATACTTTGGCCACCAAATGAGAAGGGAGCACTCACTGGAGAAGACCCTGATGCTGGGAAAGATTGAAGGTCAAAGAAGATGGGGACAGCAAAGGATGAGATGGTTAGACAGTGTCATAGATGCAATGAACATGAAATTGAGCAAACTTCAGAGGACGGTGGAAGACAGGAGGGCCTGGCGTGATCTTGTCCATGGGGTCGCGAAGAGTAGGACTCGACTGTGCGACTGAACAACAAATGGGGAAGGAGGCCTTGTTTGCCCCTGTTTACTGAAGTGGCCTGCCAGAAAGCCTCACTGCCACAGCCGCCATTCCCCTCACACACGTCTCTTGCTTCTAGACTGGCCACCGGATATTCCTCAAGTGGCTAAATTTGGCCTAGGTTTCTCCAACCTTTTCCCCTTCACATATTCCGGCTGCCCAATCCTTTGCCCAAGCCAAGACACAGGTAAATGGGTATTGGCAGTTGTGATGCTAGGGTTGCCAGCTCTGGGTTGGGAAATACCTGGAGACTTTGGGGGTGGAGCCTGAGGAGGGAAGGGTCTGAAAAGGGGAGGGAGCTCAGCAGGGTAGAATGCCATAAGAGTCCACCCTCCAAAGCAGCCATTTTCTCCAGGGGAACTGATCTTGGTCATCTGGAGATCAATCGTAATGGCGGGAGATCCCCCAAGTGCCACCTCGAGGTTGGCCACCCGATGTGGTGCCAAGGGGAGCACTCAGAAAAAGCCACACTGGGAAGAGGAGGAGGTCAAAGAATCCTTTTCCAGACACTTGGCTCATATGTCCCATGCACTATGCATATGGTTGCCAACCTCCAAGCGGGGCCTGGAGATCTCCCAGAATTCCAACTGATTTCCAGACTACAGGGATCAGCTCTCCAGGAGAAAATGGCTGCTTTGGAGGACGGACTCTATGGCATTATACCCTGCTGAGGTGCCTGTCTTCTCCACACACCAGCCTCCATCCCCTAAACTCCATAAATTTCCCAAATCAGATTTGGCCGCCTTAGCTGTATATCAGCTTGCCACCTGCTGGTTTCCCTCCAGTTTGGGATAGCCCACCTGGCTCCAGCTAAAGCTCTCACCTTTTCCTTCATAATT